TTTCAAAAAAATTTGAAAACCCTCCTTGAATAAAGACAAAGTTATTTTACAGGCCTATTAAGTTATAGAGTGCTTCAAGAGAAGGGACTCCTAGTAAATTCCAGTGACTTTGCTGCAAGAGATACATTATACTTTATAAATTAACTTCTACTTTATAAATTACCATAACATACAATTACTTTACTTCAAGAGTTAGTTTTAACTTAGCATAATGCTTTCTGTAGTTTACTGCGCTCCGCATTCTGACGAAGCACACAGCTTCAATCAATCAAAGTAAATGTTGAAACAACCCTTATGATGTATAGATATTAACTCTGAAGTGCTTCATGATTTGACATAAAAAGAAATCTTCCATGGAAGAGGTGAAAAAATTTATGTTCCTGATTTTAAATGTCTCATGTTTCATTACAAACTTATATTCCTGCATGCACATAAGATGCCTTTATGCCTTTTGCTTACACCATCTTGAATAAAATTTTGGGAATCTTCTTTGCTGACTACCATAAACCCCAGTACATAACAATGTGCAAAATTTTTCCACTTTGCAATCCCCATTCTTCTCTGATGGTTTGCCCCTTGAGCACTCTCTAATCTTCTCTTTGGTCCACAACCCTAAGAAATGCTATTCTACAGACCTGGTTTGTAGATTTTGTTAAATTTTCTCTTGGAAAATTTATTTCTTTTCTTCCTCGTTTTTTTTTTGATAACTTATCATTTAAATATCTATTATAGAGTTTTTTTTTTCAAAAAGGGATCAGGGCATAGCTTCCCTTTCAGGTTCCCTCTTAACTTCTTGAACACATACCTACATACATACATATAAACATGGAAATTATATAGTCTCCAATTTACAGAGTAGCACCCAAACGCTGATACCTTCATGCCAACTACATCAATAACTAATTAATGTGACAAATTAATTCTATATAACAAGCAAAATAATTAACTACCTAAACAACCTTCTTAATCAACTCAGTGTACTTAACACTGCAATACAAGATTAAAATTCCACTATTTTGTTCCCATTAAAATTATAGTGATGTAGCCAGAGTTAAAATTCTTGAGAATAAATGGAAGAATACATTTCTTTGTTTACTAAATAAATGCCATACAATAGAGTAGAAAAAGTGAGGAGGTCTCAGTGTCCTGTAGAGACATAACATGGTTGCAGTAGGCATGAGTTTGCCAGATATTGTCATAATGATGAAGTGACTGTTTACTTTTTTACACAGAAAGGATGTATGCTGCTTTAAAGTAAGATCATTATCAATTGTAACGCCAAACAGATCCATCGAGTAATTTACTGAGAACTTAAACTGATGGTTAGTGTTTCCTAATGTCATCCCTTAGTGTTTGCCAGAGGCAATCCTTTCCAATTTTTGTCATCCTTGGATTTTTCTTGTTAATTATTATCCCCTCGTTATTCATTTTTCTATACAAGTTTTACACCTTTTGGTGTCTTTGTTTCATCATTTCTTCTAGTACAAGGAAGCAAAGATGAAATAACACAACTTAACTCCCCAAAAGAATATCCAGTCACTAAATCCCTTATGTCTCAACATATATGAAACTAATATCATGAAGAGGGTAATTCAGAGTTAACAACTGAGTTAAAAACGTAAATATTGGCCACCGGAAAGAGTTTAAAAGCTGACGTTTCGAGCGTTAGCCCTTCGTCAGAACAATGTGAAGCAGTCATGAAGAAACAGATGTGCCTAAACAGTGACCGACCATAAGAAATATCATATTCGAAAACACCCTTTCTGGCCAATATCACAAGTATTAAAATTTTAAGTCAATACAATTATACTGGGTTGTTTTTTCTACATAGTATGACTTCATACAATGGTAAGTTCCCTTTTGATGGAGACAGCACAATCATCGTAGGGAAATAAAGCCGATGCAAATATAATTTACATGTGGTCAAGCCTTCTTGTCACAGCACGTTTTTTCCATGAGGCAAAATGTTTTGGGAGTGAAACGGCTTGCTGGAGCTTTTCTGCCAAAGTCCAATCTCGTGACTGGCAAAGCGCCATACTTTAAAGAAGGCCATGATGTAAAGCTCGGCGGAGCGAAAGTATCGATAAATATGTTACTCGAAGTTTTAAAAAGGCCACGAAACTGCCGCACAGCTTTTTCGGAAAGCATTGCAAGTCAAGGGCGATCGAAACCGAATCTTAAGTTCGAATTCTGACCAGTGGTAAGGACCTAAATTAAAAGAGCGACGAAACACCCTTCGAACATTTCGAAATAGTCTCAGCACAAGGCGTAGGCGGTGGTTTCTTAGAAATGACAAAGAATTCAAGCACGATATGAATTAAACAAAACCCTGTTGTACATAAAAGATATTTACCTGCGTATATCATTCGTCAGAAACAAAGCTTAAACGAGCTATGTGTATGAAATTAATACTTCTGAAGACAAAAATTACTAGGAGGCTAATATTGGCTCAGCGAGGTTTATGAAACGCGAAATCGAAAGGGAAAGTCTTCTCAGCGACCGCAGGAAGGTAGACGGCGAGCTCGAGGGAGACCGTCTGATTGTATGAACGTTCGTAAAGACGACTTTTTATAAAGATATAATAGCCATGCAATTTGAAAAAAACGGACGTAACCAGAGAACCAACAGATCTTAAGATTTGATTAGTTTTCAAGGCGTTCATTCCAAAGATTAATTTGGCGCGGACGAAAGAGACCATTATGTCAACAAGATACATGAAGCTACAAGCCTATTGTTCCTGACGTACGGTTAAAACAGAGCGACCCTACCGGTTTTTAGAAAGGTTTTTGATAAAGATTTATGTCTTTTGACTAATTTGAATTAATATCTCGTAGAAAAGGTACAAAAATTTGTGTATTTCTCACCTGAAGACGATGATAACGAAGTTTCGCTGGTGGTCATGTGACTGTTTATAGGCCCGCAATGGTTGCTGGGCCAATTATTTTTTCGAGCTTTTTCTTTTCCATTTTTGTTGTTTTTTGTTTTGTTTTGCTTTGCTTTTGTTTTTTTTTTAACTTTTGAGTTTTATGTTTTTTTTCCGCATTTTTCTTTTTATTAAAAAAACGTACAAATCAAAACAAAAAACAGTAACAGAAAGATAAATAAACATTGCTTTCTCCTCATTTCTCTTGATGCTGCTTCTTGCAGCAGCCAAAACAAACAAACTTCGCCATCCAGGTAAGTACTTTTCTGGAACGGCTTTTCTGCGACAAAGAAAAATTTAATATCATGATAATATAAACAGTAAGAAAAATCGAGACCAGGCCCTTAAAGTATGTGATAGCATGATTTTTGCATCGGTCCCAGGTCCCGCTTTCAAATTCAATAAAATGGCGTCGAAGAAAAACGTCATATTTACGTGATGGACTTTGACACATTAAGTCATCGCTTCTAGTCTCAGATTAATGAGAAAGTGTCTAAATTTTCAGCAAAGAGCGTAATGAACAAGAAAATGAAAGCGACCTTCGCAAGAATGAACACTACTTAAGCAATAGGAAAAATAAAATGAGGCGAGCGCGGAGAGTAAGAAACGTGAAGCGTGAAAAAGCGTCATTTCTTTCATTTTTCTTTTTTACCGCCCCTCATCTAGCGCGAGTCTTGCTTCTCGCTCTTGTCTCGCGCTTGCCTCAGCTACTACGGCTAGCCCACCTAAAAAACGCAAAAAAATGACACCCATTTCGCTGATTAACAAGAACGTAAATTTTACATCCTATCATTCTTACTTTTTTCTTGCTGTATTTAGCGCCTTCCGTGAATCCACAACCGCTTTCCTCTTCGTCTTCCGCATCATTAGTCGAAACATCAACTTGCGACATGGAGAAGGAGGAAGACGAGGCAGAAGTTTCTGGTGCGGTAGTGATGGGGTTTACACATTGTACTCTTAAGGTGGGTGGCGGCTGATATGACATGTCTTCGTGTCGTTCCGAAGAAGGAAGCTGGAGCTTGAGTGGTGAAGGGGGAATGGCTGACACTCCGGTGTTTTCCGTTTCGAGGTTGGTTTCCGCCTGATATTTAGAAGAGATGGCCTCAGGGGGGTTTACCAATAACACACTGGGAGGCGGTGGAAGGCACAAAGGCTGGATGACGTCCTGAATCTTCCGGGTAGTATAGGATGGTTGGAAAGGGATGAAGGTTCCTTGACCTGCCTTCCAGGAAGAGGCATCCAAGACGATGTTCCGCAGTGATGACGAGAAAAGAGGAAAGAGCTGAAGAACTGAGATAAGAGGGTTTTCCCCTCGAAGCTCCAGGTGGGATCTCTCGATCGCTGGGACAGGGACCACCGACACACTGACGACAATTCCTCCCCTTAATACAGCAGCCATTTGCATCACCGCATGCGTAGTAATGTTCAAACCACTCAGTGGGCTGTCCTCGGCGGAGGAAACCCTCTCAACCTAGTTTTTGACCGAGACAATGTAAGGTCTTATAAGATTATTTGTCCTAAATGTCGTAGAAGTAATTCTGTTGCTCAGCTATCTTGTTAAGTGTTTTATATTTCAAAGGTTTTCATAATATTATATTATCTAGTCACAGTAAATGGTTTGAACCCGTGGGTAACATGTAATAGTGTAGTTTGATCGTCCGGGTGAGTGTAGTCCTGAGAAGGACTATTGTCGGCAGTGGTGACTGACGTTTCGACAACCTGAGCGGAAGTCATCATAAGAGTCAAGAACATTCGACTGACAACACACTATTCTCTTGACTCTGATGATGACTTCCGCTCAGGTTGTCGAAACGTCAATCACCACTACCGACACCAGTCCTTCTCAGGACTACACTCATCCGGACGATCAAACTACACTATTACGCATTAACTACAGTTGTCTATTGTCTAAACCTAATTTGTGATGAGCGTAAGTCGGTTTAGGATTACAAGATGCTTTTTAATTCAACTTTTAAGTTTCTTCAGAAACTTTCCCTCTTTATTCATTGGGGTTGGGTTGGTGGTAGACCTCCTAAGGGACCCAGATTCCCATTCTTTATTCGCCTAATACCTTGTATTGAACTGAACACTTAAATAAATAAACTGGGCCTTCATCACTAAAGGGTTTATTTTGTTCACTCCCAAGCTTCCTGTTCATGCTCTTCAATCGCTTATACATCTCTCTCGCATTGGCTACTAAGCATTTAAAACTCACACTCGCAGCGGAACGTTCCTCGTTTAAATCATCGCATTCTTTGTTCTTCTTGGCCAATTTCTCTCTAACTTCTTTTACCTCTGCGTCTTTTTTCTCCAGCTCTCGTTTTAATAGCTTGGCATACGTTTGCCACTTTGAAATCTTTTCCCTCAATCCAGCATTTACAGCTCTTTGCATGGCATTATCTTGTTTTAGCCAGGAATTCTCCCCTAATATGCCGTCCAATTGTTGTTTTGTAAACTTGACCTCGTGAGGATTATGCGAAGAATGCATTCTCTGAAACAAGAATATAACGACAGTCATTTATCATCGAAAAAAAAAATTGTTCGATAGACAGGCTAGAGCCCAAACTCAGTCAGTGAAGATATAATAAATGTATCAGTTCTCAACATCTGACTGTAGACTCAGACTCCAGAACGAAAATTCTGCGAACTAAAGGTAAGCTAGGGGCGTAGTGAGTCTATATGCCCATACGCCCGCGCCTACAATTTCTTCTCCACCCGCTTGACTTTTATAATACGACTCTTGCAAAAGTTGAAAGAAAAAAATGGTACTCTCTTGGAAACAGGCCTAAAACAAGTCGAAAAGCTGGCTACACACCCTTGCAAACGAAAACTTGAAGTTAACAAACGGCTCAAAATCTAAACTCAACTCTGAATGTGTGTTCCTATCAACCTCAGTATATTATTAGAGAACTTAAGCAGCCGTGATTTTGAGACTCGAACGGCAACCGGAAGAAGAATAAAATTAATTCTGGCGCACTTTGACAACAACGTATCGGCAATGAGGTCGTCGTTTTTGCATTTTAAGCCAAACTTTGCCGATAAAAAAGGTGTAGTGAACATCAGGAATGAGAACTTTTAACTTCCGGCTGCCGTGCGCATCCCAAAAACGTATGTGCTTAAGCTCCCTAATGTCAAGTTCAAGGTCTGGAAACATGATTAGCCTTCTCAAAAGATCTGTAAATTTAGAGAATGTTTCAGTTTTGAAATACATATATTCTTACACGCAAACCGCCCGAACTTCCCGCGAGTTTCCTTAACTTGCTGGTAAACATCGATTTCTAACTGACGAACTGATTTGCAAAACTATGTTTAACAACCGATCTTCGTCTAGTAAAGTCAAATGACTTAACAATTCCGCTGTGATGTCATTTACTCGAAAATGCACGCGCACACGTCCTTTCCTTGTGTTCAAACGCGAACCAGGAGAACTGGATCGAGCGCATGAAGTCGAGGCTTACTGGTCAGCGTGCCGGGAAAATTTGAAGTTCAAAACAACAACAAAGACAACACACGAAAACGGACAAAAAAGACCGCGAAAAACTGAAAAATATTCTTTTTTCGTCTTAGCTTGAGTTCTTCTGCAGGGTACTTAGAATTTTTCTCTATGTCCCATATGCTCGTGAGTCGTGACAAGACGGGAAAAGACACTTTTCTTTATTCCATTTCCGAGCTTAAAATTCATCATTAAGCTTTTTATGCTCTTATCAACGAAAAGAGCGTTTTGCAGATCGCTAATTTCGCAAGTGTAGCAAATACGAGACTTCGCAATTTCGCATCTTTATTCTGTTTTCGGCGATATGATAGACAAGGTCGGATAGTTAAACGAAGTCCTTCCTAGGCCGCGGTTTTAGATCATGCATCGGTACGGCTCGCGTTCTCGTTGTAAGTAGATTGTTTGAAGAAAAAAAGTTTTTTCGTCGTTAGCGGCAATGAACCTTCTCGCCTCTCTACACCCCGAAAAATATTTTAGATAAAGCTCTTAGCAAAATTTAAAATGGTTTGTAACGCGAATAAGCCAACCAGCAGCGAAACCATCGTTCCGAAACGAACTCGCGAAAAGTTTGAACGCTTCTACAGTTTTCGATTCCAATTCTCGCTCACAACAAGCGTTTCGGATGTTTCCTTACCTTTTTCGACTCACTTCCGTGAAAAGTCCTGAAATACACTGATTTGTTGAGTAACTGCTCGATATCCCTTTCAAACTAATTAACAAAAAGCTCAATCTGCAAAAACAACTGTTTTCGCGTCGGGCAGAGTTTACTCTGTTTGACGTCAAATTTCGCTTGTGATGTCATTTATTTGGAATGCGCGCGTAAATCAATCGTCAATCCTGGGAACGAGGTTGCCTCGTCCTCAGGAGAGGTGACTTTCTGAACGATCAAACAATTAATCGAGGATATACTTTCCACCTTTTTCTACAAAGGTACTTTTACACTGTTCTTATTTTCAATAAAACTAAACCAGACCTGATTTCCTCTTAATGCAAAACAGGAACAATTCCAAAATCGGAAAGAGCCATTGCTCTAAAAGGAAAGCCACATTTGCACACCATACAACACCTGTAATCTGTGCCAATCAAAAAATAATCAACAAATATTTTCGCAAAATACAAGTTTTATTAATAGACGCACAACCTTTCAACCTTTCTACTCATTGCCCATGCTCCCATGTTTATCGCAGATGAAAGGGAGCATTGGAACTTAATTTCTCTATAAAAATATACATGTAATGTATTCCTACAATTTTTGATTATAAAAACATCTAGATAACGAACTATTTTAACAAGAACTTGGTTTTTATTAGGATTGAAGAACGCCAAGCTATTTATAGCTATCTGCAATCTTCCATGGGTCTGTCTGATCGCTCTCTTTACCTCTGAGGAAGAAAGAAAAAAAAAAGCCATTAAAATCAATCATTATCAGTTTTTAATAACGAAAGAGTGTAAGATGTCAGCCGTCTTATCTTCCCGGTCGGATTTTACTACATTTTCCCATAATCTTACGGTCATCTATCTCAAGCAGGTGTTTCAATAGTAGCCGGTTACAGACAGTTTTGAGCATGTACACTTAGGCATTAGCGCGACTGAGTCACAATCTACTAGAGCTCATTTCCATGGGAGCTTGCCCCCAGACCCCCTCGGAGAAAGGTGACTTGTGGCCTCTTTTCCGGGCGCAGTCACCAATCATACTGTCGGTTTGAGGCCGCTTATGGAAAACGTTATTGAAATTCCTGTATCAGTTCACTCTTGCTTACCGAGGGCACAACATACAAAACTGAGTTAAATCTTATTCTTTGTCGCAGCGTCCTTGCCGTCCATTTTGTTCCTTTGAAAAATTCCAAGTTTCCTGACGAGTCGGCGGCTGCCAGACGAATTCTGAAAAGAATTGAAGAAGAAAGGAAGAAGAAATGAATTATATCTAGGTCAAGAGTAATTTAATTTTCTACTCAGAGCGCTGAAATATTAAAGCTGACCAGACAAAAAATAGCTTTTTTCTAAGAGAGTGAACAATTCCACTTTAAAACTATAGACCTTAAAAGTGAGTTTAAAAAAAAAGAAAAGAAATGCGCACAGAAGTTTTCCTAATAGAGTATCCAAAGAAGTGCAAAAGCTTTTTTTTCTAGATCCTGATCATTATGCCCTGAAATTGGCTAAAAAAAGACCCCCCATCAACTGTTGGCCTGATCACAACGACGCTTTCCCGCCACTGATGCTGTTATGAGCCAATCAGATCTCTAAGCAGCAACAAGCAAATTGGCTGAAGAGCGTGAAAACGAGAGCAACCGAGTAACGGTCGGATTGAGTTTTGATTTTCATTGGTTGAGAGAGTGGCGTGCGTTTTCTGGACCAATCCTAAAGCTTGGTGAAGTAAAACCGATGCAATCCTGGCTTACTTTCTACACTCTCAATCGTAAATTGTGCCAAAATACGGTGAACAAATTCTCTATGCCGTTAATTCATACCTTTTCTTCCCTAGATTGTGCAAAACCGTTCGCACTTCCTTCATAACTTCATCCGGTGGCATATCATTTTCCAACTGGATGGAACCCCTGTGAACAGCGGCACTCTGGGACGGTAAACGCGTGGAACTGGTTGGAAGTAGAACCAGTTTTCTCGTGAATTTTTTAGCGTTGTTGCTTTGATATGAAGAGTGCATCTTTTTCTTTAAAGACGCCGACATCAATGTGCCTTGTAGCGAGGTCAGTGATGAATCGTTTGAGAAGCCATTCTCTACTGATTCTGAGCTCAAATCTCCAAGCGCAATGTTCGACAGCAACAGCAGCGAATTTGTCTTGGTGCTTGACATACCTGTATCTAAAATAATAATAATAATAGTGTATGTTGTTTCTTTTTCAAAATAATTCAAATTTCTAGTGCTCATCCTAGTGCTTATCAAAATTATTTAC